ATATATATATATATATGTGTGTGTGTGTGTGTGACTGCATTTTGCGTACAAAAATGGTATATTACAGAACAAGGATTCGATTCTTTCACGCACGATCGTGTTCGTTAATGACACTCAAGCACCTTGAATTTCATTAAAACAGTTGTCACAGACTCTTTCGGGGCTATCATAAGTCGATTCCGGTATAAAGGAAGTTTTTGAGGAACACGAACTGCAGAATACGTCCCCACAATTCCGGCAGTGATGCCGCCGTCTCCAAAAACTAAATGAGCTACCGCACCCCCTACAGGCATTGACAGTTGATTCATCAACCCATGCCACCTTTCTAATCCAAAACCTCGCTACGTTTTCCGTTGAGAGTGTTTCAAAGTCAACATCTGTGAAGAAAGGATGGTTCCGTACCTCTTCTTTTCCCGGGCGCTTATCCGGATTTTTCACTAACAACTTCGATATTAGGTCTCTAGAGCTGGGATCCAAGTCTTCGGGATAGCGAGGTTCCTCTTCAAGTATGCTTTTTATGAGTAGGTACTCCGTTGGCTCGTCAAAGGGCCGTCTACCAACCAGCATGTGATACAACACGCAACCACAGGCCCAGTAATCTGACGCAGTGCAGGTATAATTGTATTGTAGCAACTCAGGTGACATATAATGCGTTGTACCACAGAAAGTTTGTGCGCGTCCTTTGCTGCTTTGATCTCCCTCCGGACGGTCATCAATTGATTGGCAAACCACCGCAGTACCAAAGTCGATGAGCTTTATGTGCTTGTTTGTCATAAGCATAATGTTCTCCGGTTTGATATCCCGGTGGAGGATTGTAATGAGTTTCAGAGGCGCATTGGGTACAATCGGCAGAGCCTGCTTAGGTGCATGATGCAGGTACCAAACAGCAGAAAAAAGCTCTGCTAGAACATAGCGTGCCGCATCTATGGGTATTTTTTCTCGCGATTTAATCGCTTGAAGAAGTTCGCCTCCATCGCACAATTCCGTTACGTACATGAGGTCATCGGGTGTCTGCATCGCAGCATAAAAACGAACAATGTTAGGGTGGTTGCACATCAGGAGCATGCGAGTTTCCCTTCTCGCCACCTCGGCCATGCGGTTCCTCTCCTCGTCCGATGGTGCGGTAAGGATTTGCCGCTTTGAAATAAGCTTGACAGCGTAGCGCACTCCGGTGGGAATATAGCGTGCTACCAATACTTTACTAAATGCCCCTGTCCCCACCGACTTCTCGAATTCAAAATCACCGGGCACCATTCGTGTCACCGCCATTGTTGCAGCAAGATGATAAAGAGAGAGCAAATACTGCTCTCTCCCTCCCTCCCTCCCTTTCTCTGAATACCTACACATGAAAAATAAAAATAAAAACAAGAGAAGACGAATCAAACCAGTGGATGCAAAAAAAAAAAACCTACAGCAAAAAATAGTACAGGGGAAAATGCCAAACATGGAGAAAAGAAAACCTTTATCTTTCCTTTTTTTTTGCTCCCACTTGGTAGGGGACTTATATGCGACCTAAAAACAATACTCGTTCTTCTCCCCTGTTCTCATTTCTAGTAGGAAAGGTAAAGGAATGGAAAATAGTTTCTAATCTAATTCTGTCTATTCGGTCTCCACCACTTGCTGGCGACGCTTGCAGGCTCTGCCAGACATGTCTCCTGGCTGACTTTGATCAGCAGCAGAGTGCCGCCCTGCGGAAGCATCCCCACTGCTTCGCGGCGTGGGTTCGGCCTCCCCTCGGCCCCCATTAGAAGCAACGGAGCGCGCATCATCATCTTCTCCCCCTACCTCTACAGAACAAGAGTCAGCTTGCATTCGCGCTTCCCACTCTTCAATTGCAGCTTTGTCGCGTCGCTCGCTCCCAGCACGCTGCCCAGCCTTTTTGGCCTTTGCAGCTATGTTCTTTAAATAATCAAAAACAACTTCATCTCTTAGCCACTGCTTGTACTGCTGATAACATGTCTCAGAGGTAATTTTCTTGATTGATCTCTCGGTTGAGTAGCTAAGCTCAAGAAGACAAAATGCCAAATTTCGCGCCATTTGGCGCTTTTTTTTACCACGCTCAGAATAGGAATCAAAACGTTGACAAAGACGCTCAATAAGGGATTCAGTTGGCTTATCACCTTCCACACGCTCAAGCAGCGACCGCATGGCCAGTTGAAACTTGTCTGAGGGTATGGAGTGACTCAATTGGGCGACCAATGGAGGAATCAAATTGCCTGTCTTCTCCTTTTCCTTTAGTGCCAAGTTCCGAACAAACGTTAGAGCATTGTTAGCGATCGTCTCATCAGGATCTGCGACTAGCTTTACTATGGTATATAAGTGATCTCTGATACGGAGCATTTCTCCGAGAACAAGGTGTGAACACACTTGAATCGTCACAGCACGAACCCTCAAATCATCATCGTTAAGAAGCTTGAAAAAACCTGTTGTTGGCACTTTTAGATACGGGCCAAGGAGATTTGGGTGTACACAGGCCAGGTCACCCAACGCAATAACGGTATTCGTCTTCACCACCCAGGACTCGCGCTTGTCAGAGACAATAGTAAAAAGGATATCCAGGTTCTGTTCACAGAAAGAGTCACTTACAACCATGAGCTCAGAAAGCGCCATAACAGCACATACTCTTTCTAACACCCGATCTGCAAAGTGTTCTGCTTTTTCTTGGCAAACCATAACGGCATCCTTGGAAAAACGATACCACGCAGATCCCTCTGTCATTATAGCTTGTTTACGTCGTTGAGCTAACTCTTGAATTGCATGTCTTCTGTATTCATGAGATCCAAGCCCGAGCTCCTTGTGCATGGCATCTGCACCAGGATTATTACCAAAGCCATTGACTGAGTTATTGGGTGTTGCTTCTGCATCAAGTCTCTTGAGTTGTTGACGTTCCGCAGAATCTACTGCAACAAGTTGTTTTAGTGCAGTACGTCCCAAAAGAAAGAATAATTGTGACAAAGCACTAGGATCCGTCTCGACTCTTCGCGCTATGAAATCCAATGCATACGTGTATATTAGAGCAGGGGCTTCACATAATGAATGTACCGCATTGACAGCGGCGTCTGCAAGAATTAACCATGAGGCCAATGTAGTCGTACGTCTACACAAATGAAACACAAGTCGCTCTAGTACAACGTGGTCACTTGGTGGAAGCCTCGCTGGTATCGGCTGATACTGAGGATCTTGACACTCACACTCAATGCTCTTCAAACAATACGCAAGAAGAACATTGTCCCTTGCAATATCTGAGCGTAGAAAATCCACAACACTCTCTCTCCTTCCACGAAGCTCCCGCCAATCGTGTTTACAAAGAAGGGCGAAAAGGCGCAGGGCAGTACGTCTATCAGTGATTGAAGCATTAGGATCAAGCGTCCCTTCAGCAATTCCCCAAAGAGCATCCATAAAATGCCCTGACACAAGCCGCGACAAGGAAGGATTTGACTTTATCAAGCCAAAAATACGATCAACAGCGCTAATATCGCCCTCTGTCGCCCCTTTTAAAAAGCTGATCAACTTCTGAGCACTCGCCGTGTTCCTCATCAAGGCAGATGATGATGATCTTGCAAAGGCAGCAAAAACAACCTCCACAAATGCGTCGCGTACTGCCCACTGAATTTTGACTTCTCCTTCATAAACCATAACCAAAACCCGGAGAAATGCCTTTTCGGCGCCCTCAACGCGATACTCGTTGCATGCGACAACCAGTTTTATGGCCTCAATCGCATCACGCTCAGTACGACTATCTAACAAAACGGTTGCGTGTGTTAAGGCTTTATTCATCAGCTGGGCAAACTCCAATGCCTTTTCATAAAAAACCACTCGGTTTAATACAGAATTCTGCTCTTCCGACAAAGTGACACCTACTGTGGTATTTTCATTATCCTCTCGAAGCAACTCAGTTGCTTGTGTTTCAGCAGGACGGCACGCGTTCCTTACCTCTTCTAAGCTGGTCCTATACATTTCCTCAGAATCGAAATGTTTCATAGCTGCGGCACTCGCCTCGCTCAGCTTTTCTCTCACCAAAGAAGAACTCAAGACATGACCAAACCAGTTCTTTCGAAGAATAGATGCAATGGCTTGAAGAGCTGAATCCCTAACGAGATAATTCCGATCCTCAAGTCTACCAACAATTGCACCCGTGACAGCGAGATGAAAACGCTTGGGAACTGCTCGGGATTCTACCAGTTTCTCCCACATATGTACCGCGTGATTGCGAACAAATGGATTGCAATCCATTATACGAAAAATAATACAACTCAGGTATTTGTCTCTCGTTTCTTCTTCATACTCTGTGCCACGGGTAGGCCCAGAATATCTTTGAATGACCATCTCGGTGATGCAGGTTACCACTGATTTGCGCACCTCGTAGCTCTCACTGTGAATAGTTTGAACAATCACATCCGCCATTCGAGCGGTAACACTAACACACTTTCGTGCAACCTCACTGAAAAACAGTCCTGTGTTTTTTGCAGCAGCCGCATCTCCTGAAACGTCGTGTAGAGAGGCAGCAGCCATGCCTTCAATGAGTGCTGTGATAATATTACTGGCAGCAACACCTGAAACATCACCACTTTCCGCCTCTGAAACAAAGCGAATGAGGAACTGGGCGGCAGGTTCAGCTTTTAAGGCCAGTTCAATCAGTGGGGAAACAAAGTCGCATGCCTCAACTGACCTCTTGGACATGATATGGCCAGAGACTCTTAAAAGAAGAATTGCAAGCGCACCAGATACGGACTGAGCATCATTTTGTACGTTCGCTTTCTGGCCAATCATATGAAGCAACATCCGAAGCATGAGATTCAGCATCGAATCTTCGATACTTCCACACCAGAGCGTTTCCAGATCAGGCGAGCAGACATCTATTAATACAGTCAAGGCAAGCTCACGCCCATCTTGGTCTACACCGCTGAGATCCTCCCCTATGCCAGCCTCCTGTTCACTTCTTGCCCGTTTTCGTCTTCGTGCACTTCGTTGAGATTGAGATGCCAGATTTTCATCGTAATCCAATGTTGGTGCAGAAGACAATAACACATTACACAACACAAACACATACATTTTCACAGTGGAGCGCAAACATAAGAGCAGGGCATCGTTAGCACCACCATCAGCCTTCTTTCTTAGGTACGTGGCACAAACCTGTAAAAGTTTTTTTAGCCGCTCAGAGACCTCGTGACAAATCTTGTGTCTTGCCTGCTTTACAACGAACTGGTTGGCCTCAACTGATTCAATTGCTTTTACGTATGCAAAAAGAATTGTGAACAGCTCTGGTTTAGAAAACAGAGCCGTGGGGGATTTTTCTCTATGAAGACTATCAAAAAAACGAGTAAGGTCATCGAGCTGTTGCCTAGGATGTACCTCGAATTCACATGGCTCGCTGATGTGATACTGATTTGGTCCGGTTTTCTCTAGATTCTCCAAATCACGAGCATGTGCGGGAATAAAGAACTCAAGCATATCAGCCATATCTGAGACTCTAACTGCTTGTGTTTTTTTTGCACCTTCTTATGAAGCAAGACCAAAAAAAAAAAA